TTCGATGTTCGTTTCCTTGCCCAAGCTACGGTCACGCGCAGGGAAGTGTTGCGGGCTCGACAGGAGATCTTGGGAACATGCTTCGCAGTCGGCTGCACCGTGGACGGCCAGAAGCCGATCGCCCTGCAGGAGGTCTGCAGACCGCTTCTTCTTGTATTGCACGGAGTCCCCGCCCGCCTTGTTGTGGAGGCCATCGACAACGAGGAGTGGGAGCTGCCGACTGAGTGAGCTAGCGATTGTCAATGATTCCATGATTATCCGGCAGGGAGACTTGTCACGAAGTGACACCCGACGCAAGCCTGAAGGCTTCTTGGGACATTCTTCCTTCCATTCCTTCTGGGTTCCAGCCAGGAGCCACTCTCTCTCCCAGTCCAGCGAAGCAAGCTAAGAAGTCAAACGGCGCGAGGCAAAAGAACGGTTTCTAGGCAGGGTTTCTGCATGCCTCGTGGGGCAGGGGCCGCCAGTGACCAAAGCAAAATGTGGCCATGTTGCATAGATCGTCATGCAGAGAGAGGGGAGAAAACACACCAGACTGGGCGGTGCTTGCAACGACCCCTTGAAAGCTGGGATTGACAGCGCTGAAGCCGCTCGCCGCCCGCGGCATGCGGCCAGCTGTACGAAGTGCAGCAAAGCTGAGCAGGACATTCAAGAGAGATGAGGAAGCCCCAACCTCCCTGCTTGTTGCAAGACCGAGACAGGGCAAGCTCACTTTGTGCAAGCATGTGCAAGCACACTTGGCAGGCTAAAGCCGGATCTGCTGAGTTGCAGCAGCGCCATCGCCGCTTGCGCTTCTGAAGGCGACTGTCTGGCCCAAGTGCCAATACTGTGCGCTCTCGGAGCTGCCTGTTGAGCTATGAGTGCGGCTGCGTCTGTCGAGCCAAAGCAGCTTCTGTCATTGGTGGCCTCAGTGCGCCTTAGTAGTATGGCGCAAACCGTTCGAAGGTCGACATGATCCTGACTGCAGGTCTCTGGGCAGAGGCTCTAGAGTTTTTGGCACAGATTCCAGGACTGTTCTGCTGACAGATTTCTGTGCACTGTGCATGACATGCTGCCGGTGACCTGACAGGACATCCAGACGTGCCTGCTATGAATGCTGTCATGACTGCATGTGCAGAGGTGTGGCAATTCGCCGAAATCAGTTTCGAGACTATTGAAGGGTGTGCGTGTTGATGGATTCCCTGTGCCGCAAGGGTGCTGGGGAGGCCTCAAGCAGATAAGACGCTCTGTCCAGGCCGGAGAGTGGGAACGGGCCTTCCTACTGCTGCAACAGCCGGAGGCTTACGCCTTCCACATGCCAGACCTTGCGAAACCCCGGCAAGCTGGTTTCCGCAAGGTTTCACCTCCATCACTTGGTTCCAGACGTCGTCAGCTTCAACTCTGTAATGGCGGCCTGCGATCATGGGCAGCAGTGGGCCTTTATCTCAGCTCCACGTGCATGCCATGGGCGCAGCAGCTGACAGCCGACAGATGGAGCTGATGCATCTTTGCAAGATTTTTTTTTCAGGAGATGCTAAGGACTTGGCTCTCTGGCTCTTTGGACAGCTTCGCGCCCATAGCTCAGCATGTGTTTTTCGCCAGCATTCGGAGCAAGGAGTTTGATTGGATTCTGAGACCCTGCGCCTGCGGCCGTCTCTTATAAGCTTTAGCTCTGCAGCCAGCGCCTGCGAGAGACTTGGACGCAGGGTTTGGTATTTTGGATAGTGTTGGATCGTGCACATCCGAACTAACCGCAGCTCACACACCTTCGTGGGCCCAAGTTTGCTAGCACTGAACGGAACACGTCGCACGTGCCAGGAAGGCAAAGCAGTGGACGCAAGCGGTGAGCTTGCTCCTCACCCTTCAGCAGTTTGGGCTGCAAGCCGATGATATCGCTTTCAACACGGCGTCTCGCCTTCAAAAGACCCAGCCGACGACCTCCACTTTTGGCCTTGGCCTTTGCGAGCACTGTTGCCAACTCTTTCGAGGTCACAAGCGCGTGTGGCCATGGACAGCAGTGGAAGAAGGCCAGGGTAGCATCAGTGGCCAGCAGCGACGAAGTAGGCCCTCTTGCTTTGTCGATGAGAGGCTCTGGGCATCCTTGGATGCCGCGAGGCATGTGGACTCCCGTGGGCATTGGTGACCTGAGCCCTGGCGGCAAGCCGGAAGAGAGCTTCGAAGGATCCTTCTTTGATTGCGATCTCTTTGAAGCCGAGGCAATGCAGCCATCTCTGCATGCGCTGCTGGCCTCGCCACCCGTGTTGCCGTAGCTTTCCTGCGAAGGAGCGGGAAGCTGCACATCGAGAGTTCCTTCAATCGAACACTCTTACAAGGTGAGATGGGTGCTTCGGGCACTGTCAGTTGTTGCAGGAGAAGCAGCAAACAATCAGCAAACCAAGACTTTCGTATTATTTATTGGTGCAGTTTGAGCTTGAGTTCAAGCTCACTGGTGACAGGCAACTGAAAAAAAAGCAGTAGCAGCATCTACCGGTGATAGCGAGACAGAGGCTGAGGTCGACTTGCAGGTCTGCTTGAGGGCACCGTTTGTAGCCGGAAGTCCAAGACTTGGCGGCCTCCCGAGCCCGAGAGTCGCGTTGCGAGTTCTGCTTTTATGGCTGTCGAGAGGGCCCGAGGCCATTCGTCTCCGAGGTATCCGGTGTCCTCGGAAACCTCAAAGTCGTTTAGCAGACATGCAGCCAGGGCTCCTTTTCTCGTGCTTGTGGAGTTTTCTGATGGGGTCTTAACCCTTGTGTCGCCTCTTGACTCTTGAAATGCTGTTCGCCCGGTTTCAGGGATTCTACAGGTTCATCTTGGTGTTGCCAGCAACACATGCACTTCCAGCGCCCAGTGTGTTCGCCACTAGCCACTATTTTTCTCAACGATGTGAAGTTCAATACCAGCTGACCCTTGTAACCCTGTAGCCTTCTCGGAGTGGCACTTATACCCTGAACGGAGGCTCCGTGTTGAACATCTTCATCCCAGTGAGGTCACCTGGAATGCTGTGAGCCCTGGATGATTTGAACTAGTGCCATGACCGTCTCGAGTCCATTCCAGCCCCCAGACTTGCCTGGCTTGGGTTGCACAGACTCCCCGGCAGCGCAGCTCAGCCAAGCAGGTGGCGAGAGATGTCATGATTCATATGGCTTGACGAGGGCAGGTGATGCTTGCACTCCGTTGCGTTTGCAGCGTCAAACCAGCACGATCTGGACGGAGGGGGGGGGGGGGGGGTGTCGGTTTCCCGAACATGTTTTTGGGTTGGCAATTTAGGCGAAGGTGCCGAAGTTCCTCGAACCGAGGATGGAAGCCTGTGGCGATTCGTGGCAGCTGAGCCTGGAGCTGTGCCTTGGAGAGCAAATCAGGGCTAGGGCAGTGCGAAAAAATGCTCCCATGACTTATGTCAACATGACATTACCTTGTGTTGTGAAGTGAACTGCGTTCCTTGTGCAGAGGATGGCTCTAAGCCATAAAACACAACGACAAGCACCGATGCAACTTCGAATGTGCAGCCTTGCTTAAGCATAAACTTTCGCAAGCTTCAGGAAGCTCGGATGCTCAAAGCTGCCCTGTAATGGTCGTCGGCGCTTTCTGTGTGACTGCATAAGACCTTCGACCTCTGTTTTCCCTTGCGTGCACAACGAATCCTTGCTGGAGTTCTTTAGGCAGCTCGGGGACCTTCGGTTTCGGCCTGCAAAAAGGGGTGCTGAGAACCGGCAAGATTCGTGCAAAATTATTGCCTGGCATGCATGACAAGCGGTGCTCCCCCCCGGCCGCATCCCACTTTCTTGCGCTCTTAAGGTTAAGGGAGATGGAAGAGCAGCGCTCCGAAGTCAGCATTCTCGCCCTGAGCTCTGCAGTGTCATCACTGCATCGAGGCGGAAGATTTCACGACTCTAAAGGTCTTTCTGCGCTTCTTGCCGTGCTTCAGTCGAGAGGCCTTGCAGGCGGCAAGCTGGCCGGCCAGCTTGAGGTGCTTCCGAGTTTGTTTCCCGCGCTTCGAGGGTGTTCATGCAGATTCTGATGCGCTTTCTGCCCAGCTTCTGCAGAGTGTGATTCCGCCTGTAGCTTACCAGCTAAACTTGGGTGAGGAGCTACGCGCCAGCTCCGTTTGCCGAAGTCGCCTGCTTGCTGAGTCCCAGTGGAGAAACAGACAGCAATGCCATCTTGTATGTTCATCGGAAAGGAGTAGCCCGAGCGAGCAACAAATTGGCAGACTATGGTCAGGTAATCGGAATTCAACTTTAACTTTATCCCCCACCCGCATCTCTCAGAGGGTTCGAGCTGGATGGCATGCAGCCATGACCGGATCATGACCGGCATCAGCCACGAGGGCGGTTCCCCAGATTCCGTAGTAGAACTGAGCCCGCAATGGCAAGATGTATGTTGTTGGTGGGATATGTACGGGATTGCGGGACAGAGACAGACAGAGACAGGCAAAGACTGACAGAGACACAGACAGACAGAGAAGACAAGGACTTAGAGACAGGCAGGGAATCAGAGACACACAGACAGACAGAGACGGACAAACGAGTACAGTATATGCATATGTACGTATATGTGTATGTATATGTATATGTACATGTATATGTATACGTATATTCATATGAGTACACGTGTATGTGTATGTGTATACGATGAAACGAATAAGTATAAGGCATGTGTATGTATACACGTACAAGTGCATGTACATGTACATGTACATGTATATGCACATGTATGTATGTATGTATGTATGTATGTATGTATGTATGTATACGTACATACATGCGCGTATCTGCATGTCTACTTTTTTTGGGGTGGATAATGGGATGCATGGATGCATGGATGAATGGATGGACGGATGGGTGGATGCACGGACGGACGGACGGATGGACCGACGGACGGATGGATGGCTAGATTCGCACGTGTGGTGTGTTAGTGTTAGTTAGGGTGTGTGTGTGTGTATGTATGTGTGTGTGTGTGTGTGTTTGTGTGTGCATTGCATTGTATGACGTGATGGGTTGTGCATCGCAGTGGGCTCAAGCTCTGCGTCGCACGGCTTGAGCTTCATCCCTTCCGCCATAATGTTTGCTTTTTGGATGGGTCTCCTCGCTGTGCGGGGTGTGCTCTCAGCCCATCTCCGAAGCAATGTGCCGCCTCGGTTTGGCTTAGGATGAAGCAGATGTTGAGGGTTCTCAGTTATCATGGATGATCCGGTGGTCCTGGCAGGCATCGCATGTATCAGCCACAGCTGGCGGAGGCAGATCCTTCTACCAATCTGAGCCTCAATGCCAATGCGCGCCTTGACTTCGTAGCATGGGGGCATCTGCTAAAGCTCACGATGCGTGGTTACATGCCGTCTGAAACGCTCAATCGTTCAGGTGGCAAACAATCCGGCTTGGAAGAAGACGGAGCGAACCGAACCCAAATGTATCTTCATCGATCTTGGTGCAGCTGATGGGAACACTTTCGCAAAGTTCCTGGAGAGTCCTGGCCTGCACCTGAAAATTCAAGCATGGCGTTTGGCAGTGCCGCTTTTGCCGATGGTGACGTGCGTGTTGCGAGCAAAAGAGAAGTGCAGTCCATCAGCCCCATATAGTACAATGAGAGTATAGTTGTTTTCGGGAAGGAACGATTACGGTCCAGTGAAGAACTGCCCGTCCGGAAAGTGGGAGGCTTTCCTTCTCGAGGTGGGCTGTTAAGTTTGGCAAAAGCAAGTCAAGCGAGACAAGATCCTCTGCAGGCCAACCCCCAGTTCACCAAGGAGTTGAACTCTTTGCAGGAGAACTTTCCGGGACAGGTGCTCTCTTCTCGAAGATGGGAGCTGAAAGGGGCGCTGAAGCAGTTCTCCGCACGACCGAGGTGCACTCTCTTGCTGAGCATGCTGCTTTCTCGTGTGAGGGCACCACCAGCTTCTTTATCGATGCTGCTCGTCAGGAAATCTGGATCTTCTTAGATTTTGGACGGTCGTGGTAGGGCGGAATGCTTGTCTCCATGCATACCTCAGGCTGATGCCACACACAACCACTGGGGCTCCAGCATGATGTCGGACGCGCCTGATGCCAAGAAGAGCGGGGATGTCAAGGTGACGGTGCCGATGCTCAACGTCGTGCAGCTGTAGCCTGGCGCAGATAATCGGAAGCCACCCAATGCCTTGTAAAGAGCGTGAACGTTCTGTGCCGGCTAGGCAGTTTGATACTTGCTCTGGACAGGCATCGAGTGAAGCATTACAGAAGCAACGTAAATCTACCCTAGGCCCCTGTCTGATTAATTAACAGATTTTGACAGCATGAGGATTGCTGAGAATGTGCGGCCGGATGATTGGGTCATGCTGAAAGTCGACGTTGAGGGTGCCGAGTACAACCTCATCCCCTGCCTGGCACAGTTCAGTACCATGCGGCAGTGGTTCACAGTGGTGCATCGCAGTACAGACCAATCAGTGGGTGGATTTGTGATGGCTTTCCCAAAAACAAATTGCCAAGGTGAGGCAGGCATGGTGGACAGGATGTACTTGGAAGAGCACTGGTGGTTTCCATCCATCACAGCTTCTGGGATGCAATATGGCAGAGTGGCAAAGGTACATTGCATATCCCGCCAATCTCTATAAGGAAGCTGCCAAATCGGCCCTGGCGGAAGCGAAGAAGCAGCTCGTGGGCAAGCATGTGGACATCCCGAACTACTACTCCGAGACCTGAGTTCCACGTGCCCTCCCCATAGGCCACAAGCCTAGAAGGCAGCATCGACTTGGCGTGCCATGAGAAAACAGAAGAGCCTGCAGAGACTTTTTCTTTCCATCCCTGCCTCTCCAGTGACCGGTTTTCCACAGCTTAAAGTTGCGAGCTGCCGATAAGGTGTTTTCGCTATTTGCCCAGCAAAGCGGTGGCAGAGGATGCCAGCGAAACTAAAGAGTCTGTTGTTCCAGTATCAGGTGAGATGCAGGTCTTTCCAGCAGTACGCAAGCAACAGCCCTGGCATTCCCAGGCATTCAAGCCCTTGTTAAGACAGGTACGCGAGAAGAGTGCTGTGTGACAAAATTCTATTCGAACTCTTCTAAGCGTTCCACACCTTCCGTGCGGCAGCGTCGTGCACAGCATGTTTGAGGTAACCCCTGCATCAGATGAGGACACCAACTTCGCACACCACATGCTGCGAAATCGCTTCTAGCTTTCATTTCAACACGTGCCACCTGAGATCTGTGTTTGGCAGTTTGGCCCAAATCGGTCAAGTGCTAGACAACCGCGCGGCTGACAGACCTCTGAGTCCGCGAGAGAGAGAGAGAGAGAGAGCCTTGGGACTCCCACCTCGTAGAGAGAGAGAGAGAGACCCGAGAGAGAGAGAGAGAGAGAGAGAGAGAGAGAGACAGAGAGCGAGCCCAAATCGATGATACTAAGAGTGAATGTGACACGGATCATGTTCTCGATGCGCCCCCGTGCGCGGCTTTTGGTTCAAGGCCATCCTCCAAGAGGTCTGCAGTAGCTCGAACGAAGTGAACAGGTCAAGCGGATCTGTTGAAGATGTTTCGCCTCGCACCTTTTCTCGTTGGCGCAGCCTCGGCTGTCTACCTTCGCAGCAACGCGCGACTGACCAAACCAGTGTCTGTTGGTAGGTCATATGTCTGCCCGTGAATTCTCATGGATGCAAGCTCGGTGTTCAGGTGTCGCAGGCCAGCGTCCATGCGGTCTCCAGCCTGTCTTTCTACCAGGAAGAGCCGCAATGCCAATGTGTGCCTTGCAGCTGAGCGTCCCCTCAACAACACACTGCAAGTGCAAGCATGCCCGCTTGCTGCGAGTTGACTTCCTAGATCCCCCAGATTTGAACACCCTCCAAGCTCAGGTAGCCAACAATCCAAGCTGGAAGAAGACGGCACGCACTGAGCCAAAGTGCATCTTCATCGATCTCGGAGCCGCAGATGGCAACACCTTCGCGAAGTTCCTTGAGAGCCTCGCCAAAGCCGAAGAGGGTATGGTTTTCAAAACAGGAGGCATGCTCGATACTATCTGAGAAGATTGCTCTGTCGATGAGCTGAAAGTCGAGGCGATTCCTCTAGGGCGACTCTTAACTCTTAGGCTCTTAGGGCGTCTTTGGATGTGTTTGGTGCAAGGAACGACTATGGTCCATTGAAGGACTGCCCATCGGGCAAGTGGGAGGCATTTCTGTTGGAGGCCGGTGCTTGCCCTAGAATCTCCAGAATTCTCCGTTCTATGCTTGGTCCTGGCCAGGCTTAGGCATGCCATCATGCTCCGGACCTTCAGAAGCTGGGTGACAAGCCATGTCTTGCAACCATGTCGTTAGGATTGTTTCCCACTCTACTCGTTGAAAAGCCTGGAAATGGGTAGCCACTGCACTTATAACAAACAAGATTGCTACGGAATCTCCATCATTTTGAGGGGTAGCTATGCGATGGCAGACCTGACGATTCCAGCCGTTGCCCAAAGTAGCGTTAGTGCCCGGAGTGCCGTTGTGGCAGTGTTAGGCAAGTTGTCTTTGACCTGATACAGGCGAACCCGCAGTTTACGAAGGAGCTCTCCTCTCTGGCGGAGAATTTCCCTGGCCAGGCCTGGGGCTTCAGCAGAGAGCAAACTTTGCCGGGTCTTTGCGGAAAATGTTTTATGACTGTCAGTCTAGTCGGAGCAATCGCGAAGAATCATGGCTAGGCGGAGTCCGGCTGTGGATGGTAGTAGATGTAGTAGACAGCAGCCCCCTGTTCGATAGTGCGATCCCTCGTACCACGCAGCTTTGGCCTTGAAGGTTGAGTGAAGCTGTGCGGGTGCCCGGCCCTTTTGCGGGAGGACTGGGGTAAATCCCACGGAAAGCTCCGGATGTAGAGCTGGTTTGCCAGGCTCCATGGCAGGACGAATACCAGCCTGGCGAAGGACGGGAGCCCGAGCACGAGATGCGCACTTCGATTGGTTGGAGAATGGAGCCTGGGTGGAGCTCCCAGGTTATGATATCTGGGGGCGACAGCAAGGAAATATTCAGTTCTAGCTGGTGGAGACAGGCGATGATTGACAGGCCGGGAAGGGCCGAGTGTTTGACGCCCACTTGGCGGCCGTGCAGGACGGATGCTACGACTATTGGGTGGGGCAGACTTATGGTGGATGGGCTGCCACTCCGTTTCTGCTCTACCTCGCAGAGTGGGTGCCATGATGCCACCATGTATCTGCACCCCATCCATGTCGATGTCTTTCGCCTCCGTCCGAAAGAGTAGGTCTTGAAGTTGGATGGTTGACCGAAGATGACAAGGCCCGAGTGAATGCATATCCGGGGCTTGTGGGTGATGCGCCGGAGCTGGGGGACTTCCCCCTGGTGCTCCTCTGCTGACCCCGCCGCCACTGGAGTGCAGACTGGAGTGGCCGAACTTGCTGAGGCTCTTGGTGCTGAAGGAGTTCATGGCGGTGACCCGGCTGACCCGGTGGCTGGAGCTGATAAGAAGTAGAAGGCGAAGGAGAAGGGAAGGAGTTCCTGAGAGGGCAAGGATGACTTGCTGGAAGAGATCGCGAAGAGAAGCCCCGCTGGGAGACGGGAACGATCGCCTCTTGAGCTTTCCCACGGCAATGGTTCGAAAGAAAAGAAGAGGAGGCGACGATCCTCGCCGAGTGGAGATGGCACTCGTCTTTTCAGTTGGCCGCCCTTCCCCAGGGCGTGGACATGCATCGGCGCCACCCAGGCGGTTGGCGTCTCTGACGTTGCAGCAGTGCTCGGAGCTCCTCACCCAGGCCCACGGAGGGGTGATGGCCGGACACGACGGGGCCAAACTGCCGGCGGTGGCACGCGGGTACTTGCAGCTGATTTACCTGACGGTGGAGAACGATCCACTCCGGGCCTATCTTGGTTCAGAAGGCCGTAGAGCTGGCCCACCTGAAGGGCAACTGGACTCAGAAGGAGCAGCTCGAGCTGGTGAAGGCGGGATAAGGCGGGCGAGTGGTCGGCGGTTTTCAAGCAGGAGCTCAAGGCGGCCCAGCAAGAGGTGAGGTCTATTCGAGATTCCTATCCTAAGGCAGGTCCTGGACTCCATGCCCGAGGAGGTCACGGCGCAGCGGGATCAGATGATCGGGTTGCAGGTGTGTGAACTGCTTATGGGCCGCCTCAGCACCGAGAAGGGCCGGGAAAAGGCTGCTTATGGCTTCGCCACAGTTGTGGTGGATAACATCGAGGTCCCATCGGAGACCTTGCTGGAGATCCTGGCCCAAAAGTTCTCAGTGCTGGCGGGGGTGAAATCCGAGAGTACTATCCTGGGTGGCGAGTAGCAGATGGCGGCACTTATTATGTGGGCCGTGGTTACCATGCTCAGTATGTCAGGAGCCCTACCGCGATCAGTTGGTGTCCCAGCCGATCTGGAATGAAACCGTGTGGAAGAAGTGGCTGTGGTTTTGGCTTATGGGCCGGGTAGCGGCGCCCTGCTTCTTTCTTCTTTGGTGTCGTGCTCGCCTTGAGGCTTCGCCCGAGGCTGGGGCCGATGGGCACATTCGTGTACGAGTGTTGTCCTGCTGCGCTAAAGAGCACTTCAAGCAGGCGCCGGTGGAGCTTCTTCCAATGGCCATCCGAAAAAGTCGCAGGAGCTGGTGCGCCTGATGCACGTGATGCTGGAGGCCTGGGCATTGCATGACCTTCCCTCGGAGACCTGGCTGGAGGAAGAGGATCAGGATGAGCTCCTTATGATCCTGGGGTCGGCCGATGCATCGGATGGATCAAATGATCAAAGGTTTCAGATTTCGCCGAATGTGTACGCCGCGGATGCCTCCCTTGATGGTGGTGGCGCCTATGTTTCGGCTCTCTGCCCGAGGCCGGGCCAAGTGCCATATGCTTGGGTCAGGTGACGACTTGGGAGGAGCCTGTGACAGCATCCTCATCATCGAGGTCTTTGGTGGCATCGGAGGATTGCTCCAGGCCTGCGAGCTCTTGGGAGTCCAGCCTGGTGCGACGGCAGTGCGGCTATGTTCTGAGCTTCGGCGACATCAAAAAGATTACTTTTGAAGATGTGAAGGCCTGGCAGCGGGCTTGTCCCAAAGTGACAAAGGTGATTTTTGGAGGCGGGTGGCCAAGTTGGCCACGCAAGGTGAAGAAACACGCAAGCGGTGATGCCTAGGGGCAAAGTGTCCTGGGCAAGGAGAGAAAAGTCGAGAGCAAAGCACCAGGAGCGTTGAGGTCTCAGGTTGTTGCTCCTGAGGCTGAATCTTGCATCTCACCGGATGTCTTATCCCACCAGTTTTGTGTACTTGATCGTCATGTTTCATCTTTCGTTGAAGAGCTGTGGGAAGAAGGTGACCCGAAAGTTTACGCCAGCGACACCCTCAGTGGACTGGGTCGCTTCATTCTTTCAGCAAAGCCCCATCTCATTGCCGGTTGGCGTCTTCGCGCTGCATGCAGCGGCGATCGGAACTCCCGGCATGTGCTCCTCCTTTTACATCGTCGCTGGTCTATGCTTTTGGCACAACTGGCCTTTGAGTCTGGATGGCTGATACGGCGGGTTCGGTTCATCCTGGGGTTCCACACCTTTGCACGGTCGGGTGGGCTGTTTTCGGCTAGGGCAGGAGACTTTGCTCTGTCAAACGCCAAAGGCACATGGACTTTACTCCTTTCCAAAAGCGGCCAACGTCAGTGAGCTGTTGAATCTGTAACCATTGATGATACCTTTGTTGGTCGACGGTGGCAAATTTTTGCAGGAACAAAGTTCCATGTGACCCCATCTCCGTCGCCTGGTTTGCAGCAAAAGAGACTCAATGATCTGCTGGCTCAGCTCAACATTGCCGCGCCATATCGTTGGTATTCCCTTCGCAGGGGAGGGACGACTCATGAATTTCGTCGCACGAGTAATTTATCGTATGTGTGTTTGAAGGGACGGTGGACATCACTGCGCACGGCGCGCATCCATGTGATGGCACTGCGCAACTTTCCGAACTCCAGTTGGCTGCCTCGAAGTTACGACATGTGCGAGCATTGGCTCTGAAAGCACGTCCGGATTAGGAGTCGCAGTGACTCTCCCCACCCCCCCCACCCTGCGTCCAATTTCCTGCCTTCCTCACTTCACTCATGAACCTGCTTTTTTTAGCTGCGTCGAAAGGGTGAGGTGGATGCCAATTGGCCGTTTTGGGTATGGACCCTATAGCCGGGAAGGCTGTGGCTTGTGCCATTCGGTGCGTCAGCCCTTCCTTGCACATTCGGGGGTGTGGTTTTCTTTGCGCATGCTGCTCTTCGGAAAAGTGGCTTGTTTTCGCTTCACTATGTCTCTCGACATATGATCCATACCGCTCTTTAGCGCAGCTCGTGGCAAAACAAGTGTGGAGAGGTTTGAGCACTAGACAGCAGCCCCCTGTGCGATAGTGCGAGTTCTCGTGTCATGAGCTTTGGCTTTGCCCTCCGTCAGTTCCTGGCAAAACAAGTGTGGCGAGGTTTGAGCACTAGTATTGATGACAACACGTGTGTGTGTGTGTGTTTGTGTCTGCTGATGTGCTCAGCGGCGCATGTTGGACCTGCCGGACAGGTTCACTCTCTTGCGGAGCACGCCGCCTTCTCTTGCGAGGCTGGAGCCCTATCCTGATTGAATGTGTGGCTAGCGAATGCTGTCACTCGGCACTATTTCCAGGGCACGACCAGCTTCTTCATCGACAAAGATGCCACTCACAACCACTGGGGGTCCAGCATGATGTCGGATGCATCTGGGAGGCATGTTGCACTGTGCTAGATGGACATGCGAACTGGTGGGGTTAAGGTTGCTGCCAAGATACTCTGGTTGACAACCAAGGCCCCAGATGCCGTTAAGAGTGGCAAGGTCAAGGTTACCGTCCCAATGTCCAATATCGTGCAGCTGCTTTTCGGCTTGCAGCAAGTGCCGTTTTGCTTTCCAGACGATACCGCGAGACGATAACGCGAGATTGCTGCAAGGATCGCCGAGAACGTGCGGCCGGATGATTGGGTCATGCTCAAGGTCGATATTGAGGGAGCCGAGTACAACCTCATCCCCTGCTTAGCGCAGTTCAGTACCGTGCAGCATTGGTACACACTGTGAGACACAAACAGCCAGTTGGGGGATCTTCCCAACAACACAATGCTGAGGTGATGTAGGCATGGTGGACCGGATGTATTTGGAAGAGCACTGGTGGTTTCCATCCATCACAGCTTCTCGGATGCAATATGGCAGAGTGGCAAAGGTACATTGCATATCCCGCGAATCTCTGCAAGGAAACTGCCAAATCGGCTCTGGCGGAAGCGAAGAAGCAGCTCGTGGGCAAGCATGTGGACATCCCGAACTACTACTCCGAGACCTGAGTTCCACGTGCCCTCCCCATAGGCCACGCGCCTGGAACGTAGGCGTCCACTTGGCGTGCCATTGAAAGAACAGAAGAGCTCTGCAGACCCTTTCACTTACAAGCGCCTTGTCAAGAGATCCAGTTGCACAGCCTTGCTGACATGCTTGAACAGATTTCGTCAACTCCGTTGTGGGCTTAGTGAGAGGGCATGTGAATTCACGAACCAGAGGGCCCACTCGTCCACACCCTTTTTGCACAATTATGCTGCTATTTCTTCAGTTGATATTGGATGGCGCGGCCTCCCTTGGACTGCTGTAGGGCAATCATGTTCGTTCAGCGAACCATCCACCCTGGCCATGGGGCAGCGACCGCAGCGATACGGTGACTTGGAGCCAAAGGGTAGCAACTGGATGGCAAGAGCGTGTCCGTGTAACTGTCTGAAGTGTGCTGCAGGTTGGATGCGACTCGGCGCCCTTGTCGTGCTCAGCAGAGCACAGACTGACTGCAGCTTGGCCGGTCACTGCTTCTTTTTCTTGTGCACGGGCAGGGTGAACGCAGATAAGATGCTTTGACAAGTCATCGAGCATTGGTCGGATCTTTACCTTTGGCCTGAATTTCGCAGGCCGTGGAACCGAGCTCGTTGGCCAGGATGTGTGGACTGTGGCGCGCGAGGTTGACAAGGCTCAACTTTCATGGCCTCCTAGACAAATGAAGTGCTTTCAAGTCTGATGGTTAGTCGTTCATCCTTTCTGCTGGCTGTGGCATGCATTGCAGCAGTAGAGGGACAATGCCGCCACCGGCTATTTCCGTGGAGTTGGAAAGAACAAGCTGATCCAGCACCTTCCCGAGAAGTCAGCCGAAGGCCTTGCAGCAGACGCACGTGCCGCGCGAGTATGGGCTTGAGAATCCTGGCTGATTCGAGCTAATTTCTGTGCACGAAGCATGCACACACACAGAGACGCACACACACACACACATATATATATATATGTATATATGTATGTATGTATGTATGTATGTATGTATGTATGTGTATATGTGTATATGTGTATGCATGTATGTATGTATGTATGTATGTATGTATGTATTTATGTATTTATGTATTTGTATTTATATTAATACTTATACTTATATGTATATTTATATTTATATGTATACTTGTATTTATATGTATATGTACATGTATATATACATTTATATTTATACATTGCATGCGTACAGGCATACACACACACACGTAAATAAAGACATACATACATACATACATACATACGACATACATACATACATTCATTCCAGACAGGCAGGCAGGCAGGCAGACAGACAGACAAACAGACATACGTACATACACATACACATACACATACACATGCACATACGCATACGCATACACATACGCATACACATACGCATACACACATACACACACACACACAGGCGTATGCACGCATACCTACCTGCCTGCCTGCCTACCTACCTACCTACCTACCTACCTACCTACCGACTACCTACACATGCACATAGACATACACATACCCCAAACACACATGCACACACACACACACACCCATCCACACACATACACATATGCACATGTATGTGTATGTATGTGTGCGTAGGTTGCTGACGTATGAATGTCCGAATGTTCGCATTCGTGCATCTATGCATGCATGGCTGTATGTACTTATGCGTACAGTGCGTACGTACAAGTACGTGTTTGTACACATGCACTCGTCTATCTGTCAGTATAAACACTGTAAATGCTGTCAGTCGGCATAGAAAAGGACATGTATTACATGTTTATACGGATGCTAACAAGATTTCCATACGGACCATTTAGGTAGAACCTGGTAATTAGATACCTGCGCAAGACACTTGGGCGCACAGACACACACACACACAAAGGTGAGAATGTGTGTGTGATATAGGTACAGCAAAAAATGCACACCTGCACTGGTGCATCGGACCAGGCATGGCATGCTACGTTATTTTCTGCTTTGCTACGGTACGGTAGCTTACGGTACAGTATGTCGGGGAACTGGGAATGGGAATAGTAGTAATGATCAACCGTCCATGCTCCATGAATCCCACAGAGCGATACCGCTATTCCCGACGAATATTTGACCTGGCCCCTCATTCATTGTTCGGACTTGTCAAAAAGAGGTTGGTATCCAGATGCTGAGCGCTTTCCATCAAGTACATACAATGTACATACAGTTAAATCAAATCCTCGCAGTCCTGCTTAAAGAATCTTGAAGAAAAGAAGCAGGAATTCGAGAGCAGAATAGTATTTGGAAGCATGCGTGGAAGTAGTCTCCCTCCTCAGAAGGCATGAAGGCCGGAAGCCAGGTGCATTTTGGTTTTCCCTGCGTGCAGTCCGGCTTCCTCACACCTCCTCAGCACAGGCTGTCCAACGCATTGTTCGGTCTTGAGCGCTCCGGAGCTCTTCCAGGAGCTATTGAAGCCTTTCGGCTGCTTTTGGTTGAAACCCGGATGCTGTGCAGATTTGGTTTATTGCACTGAAAATGTTACAGCACGGGCTTCCAAAGTGGTCAGCAGTTGTGATGCTGTCCTGCCTGCAGACATGGGAGCGCTTTGGTGATGAGTTGAGGATTGTGCGCTGGGAGTGGCGGTTCTAATTCTGAATGCCTTGCCTCAAGCGGAAATCCGCTTTGGTACTGCGACGCTTCGCCAGTCTTCAGTGCCCTTCTTGGTCTTTGTTGCGTTCCTGTGAAGCAGCCCGCGGCTTTAGCATCTTTTTCGCCATGCCATTCTGGTTTCATCTTGCCGTTTTTACGCTGCTCTTTGCGTCCTAGCCTGCTTACAAATGGTGGGTTGAAGTGAGTGGCTTGTGCAGACACTTTGCAGCCTGAGGAAGGCCAAAGAGTATTTCTTGCTCTACGAGGGTTTGAGGCAAAGATATGGTCATCTCTGGAATGCATCTGGTTTTGCATGGAATCTGCAGACACATCAATCAGATGCTTGGCATTGCACGAGCGTCTTGAAGATATGTAGACTAATTCCTAGTAGTGTAGGTAACCTTTAACTTTAACCTTTTATAACCCATATATGAGCCCAATATACTCTCAAAGGTAGTCTTGCTATTTCTTCTCTTCCTGTTTGCTGCCGGCCTTACAGAGGCCAGTTATCCGCTGCTTCTCGGCCTGAAGCCGCAGGGTTGTTACGACTCGGGCATCAAAGTTTATGTCTATGAAACGAAGTTCGCTGCTCGGCCGGTGGATTGCAGCCAGGGTATGTTTGCCAGCGAGGTTTTCGCACCTTGCACTTGTTTTGAATGATTTTCTTTAGCAATACCTCTTTGGTCTCTGGGCATCGTAGTGGTAGACAGAAGGGCGGTTACCTGCTGCCGACTGAGGTCCACCAGTTTCTCTTACATAGCACATGTCGAACGGAGAACCCGGCCGAAGCCGATTTCTTCTTCGTGCCTGTCTATGCTGCATGTGTAATGACGAAAGACAGAAACACAGCCGACGAGACTTGGAGCATGCAGCAGAATGTAGCACTTGTATCCGGTGCCGCAGAGATGATCGTAGCCTTCTGATGGAACGAGACACCCAGGATATGGATGCTTTCTACAGCCGCCTGGTGAAGGAAGAGCTTCGGTACTTCGAGGAGAGCCACAAGCTGAACAGTAGACTAGCCGAGATGATTTCCATTGCCGCACTCCTACCTCGGCTTTTCAGCAGGCAGCGAGCTGCTGTAACATGGTCCATTCTGTTAGGACATGTTCGGACCCGTGTCTTGCTCCTGCATGCTCCCCGGAACATTCTGCGCTCAGCTCACCCTTTGCCTACGTTTGTCGATGGGTGCCTCCAGGACCAGGGTGGAATTGACCACATATTTCTGTGGTCTTCGGAGACCTACGATTTCCCCTCGCCGCCAAGCTGTTGTCAAGATGTCTCGGGAGCGTCTTGTGTTCCGGCTGGCCTTTGACTCGAGTGAAAGGTGGCAGGACTACATCCCAGACTCGCTCTTCCTGTCCGTGGAAGCTAGGCGCGGTTGACGGCTGTTTAAGCGATTCGGACAGTGAAATCATGGAGCTGAGCAATACCCCGCCAAGACGACGGCAGATGCTGCAGGCCAATTGAGTGCACGGACTTCGACTTCTTTTCAGAAGAGACGGCCGATAATTTTGGTGCTCACTGCAAGCACTGCTACTGGTGCTCCTCAGCTTTTCTGGTAGGATGCGTGCTGTCTGATTCATGATTTATGGTCATTCCGTGCTCCGACCCAGTGGGAGCTTGAGCACGTTGAGGCTTTACACCGTGGAAAGATTATGTCATTCCGGGCTTCGTGGAGAAGTGGAGCATCGACAAGCTGCATGCTGTGGAAAAGCCCCATGCACATCGGTCCTACACGGCGTGCTACCACGGCGCTGACTCTGATGCTTTGGCCATCTACAAGTATGCGAACACCACAGCGTTCAGACTGCACTGGTCACCCATTTACACTCCAACGAAGCTATCAGCCAGCTTGTAACCTACAGCTTTGCACACCCAGCACAGGCAACTCAGGCTCGTGTACTGCGCAGGTGCGGAACGATCTCCAAACACTCCGTGGTCGGCCAGGCTTCAGCATCGGCTACAGGTTTGTTCGGATTATCGTGGCATGGCTGCAGATGCCGAGTCATACGCACGAGCCAGCAGACGCCACATGCATACCAGAGCAGTTGCCGGAAGCCCGACTGGCAGGTAAGTGCAGTTCCCTTGCTTGTAGCAAACCGTCCGCAAAATCTTCCTTACCTGATGCTTTATTGCAATGCCATCTCGCTTGGTGTGAACTCCTCTAAGAGCTTCACTTTAGCTGTCGCTTACAGTTTTACTATCACAGTCTGTTGACATGTTCTGCCCGGGATTCGGTAGTGTGTCTCCGAACTGGGATGATTGGGCAGCATGTCTGGCTAGCTCTGCCGATGAAGCTGCTTCTGCGGGTACCCTGTTTATGCTCAGCCCGAGACCTCGAGCGGCTCAGGAGTACTTCGATCGTATCGGCGATTGCCACTTCTGCTTTACGCCGAAAGGCTTGGGCTTTTGGAGCAATCGGCTGTACGAGGCTTGTCGGCCATCTGCGCAACCGAAGTAACAAGTAGTAAGAGCTTTGTTGAATCTGAAGTGCATGCATCAGGTGTTTTCTAACGAGTGCGGCATGCGAGCTGCAAAGTTTGCGCGCTTTACACCAGAGCAGGTTTGATTCGTCCTCGCGTGCTAGCTTTCTGTGAGGTCATGTTTGCGGGTTGCATACCCGTCCGTGCCCCAGTCAGATTTTCGGGGACAGAGGACAGACAGAATGCGAGCACTTGCTGATAGGATTCGAGCGCAGGCCTGGATCAAGATCTTGTGTAGAGAATCTCCTTAAGCTTCGAGTATCAGAACTACTATTCAGATTACACGCCATCGCCTAATGATAAGGGTCTATCAATGCGGGCACCACCCCAAAATCGCTCCGCTTGTGTATTCGGCTGAATTCCGCCTTGTCTGGTTTCAGGCGTCGCCTGGACACCACAGCCAAACTGCTACTCCATCCCCCCCCCCAGCTCCCACATAGTGCGGGATTCAGAGACACGACCAAAATTCTTCCCCCCGCACACTAGCATTGGCCGGATTCAGGCATTTCAGGTCAAAACGAGGCCAAGGAATTTACAATGGATCGCGCTTTCTAGAGGCACCACAGCCAAAATCTACCACCTCCACGCACCGCAGAATTCAGAGGCACGAGGCCAACGAATGCTTCTCCGCATGTATTGACAGCTCCAAGCCAAAATTAGGTCAACGTATGCGGCTTTCGAGAAGGGCCTGCACCGGGAGTGTGTAAAAAATTGGATCTTAGGACAAACTATACAACATGTCCCATATCTTCACTCCCGTCCCCGATACAGCGCAGGCATTTTGTACCCAGGAGCACGATTCCCACTTGATTTGGTTCTGACATTTTGAGGTCATCCTTTCCGACGATATCGGCCTGCCTTTCGATGACTTCCTTGACTGGCATCTTGTCGCACTATGTTGAACTAGCCAGGCGGGAGGCAAAAAATGTTGAACTAGATCATGCTCGTTATAGTCTTAGTTATGTTTGGCAGAACCATGCTTGCGGTGCCAACAAGGGAAACAGACAACAGACTCTTTCGTTCCAGATTCTCCGATTCCGGCGTGCTAGTGGCGTGCGGTTGCTGTTCGCCACCGAGAAGCTCTGCGATTTTTGATTTTCATGTTTTCTTCCCTTTCACTGGATCCAGGTCGTCGTTTTCGTTGAAGTGGCCCATGGATGAGGCCCGACAGATGCGGCCACTTGCATCTACAGGCATTTCCTTCTGCAGCTTGTCCACTTCTGAAGGTAGGCCCGGCGCTGGCCGAGCACTTGGAACGCCTTCTGGAGTCGCATCGTTCGGTGGTGGCAGACATGCACCAAGCGGTGCTGCGTAACAGGCGTCGAGTCTGAAAATCCCTGACCGTTCGATACTCCGAAGTGTTCTATTCTGACATGCGCAGGTGCTGGTTCGACTACAACTCGGAGGATCCCAACTGTTGCTCGACAGGAACGACGTAGAGCCACACAGCCGGATAGGCCTCTGCGCTTTTCCTCCGGGCATGACTTCACTAGTCGATTCAGAAGTCAGCGCTTGGTATGCTTCATTGGTGAAAGATCATGGGTGTGTTTTGTGTGTTTTTCAGACCGGATACCTCTCAGCAAGAATCCACTGGCATTTTTTTGGGTGGTCCATGCGAGGCTCGCCTTACCTGGGCATTCTTCGCTACCTTCAGAAGAGGAAGCAAGCCATGCCCCGCTCACAAGGCTTGGAAGATTGCCGGTGGCCGGCCATGTTTGACGTGTCCAATGGATCCCTGAAGAGACCTTGGCAGGAAGGACGTGGGATATCGTCACGCCTCCTATACGCGGGACTCCACGGGCAGTTGCCGAGCTGGCCGAGCCAGTGCAGCGATGACGCAGAAAATGTGCGGTGAGCCATTCGATGGGAGCCAATCCTCTCTTAAACAGTTCCCTGATGCCAATGCCGGGTGTCAGACTTTTTCTGGTACCAGGTCTTGCACGCAGCCCCCCCGTCCGAGGTCTGGAAGCCTGTTGGAGCTCAGAGCACAGATATGTCGAAAGTTCTTGTTTTGCCGAAACCGATGGCCAGTTGGGTTTGAGCTATGGGAGAACACGTCAAAGAGTAAGAACCACGGCCAAGCTGCATATCATGGAAACAGTTACGCAGGGTTTGGGGGTAGTTGCAGTATCACGCAGTGAGCTAGAGATCACATGGTTTCGAAGATACTGCGATGCGGCTGGAGCCTTCTAGGCCAGCACGGGGAGAGAAAGGGTGTAGAGCCGAGTAGATCCGACGGAAGGTGGCGATCTTGTTCCCAGCGGCTGCAGTAGCTGCAACTTGTACAGAATACTCTACCTACAACACGGAGTTGCTTGCGTGGCCGGTGTTGCTTTCAGACTTACTAGGACTTACTTATCTGCCCAGCTTCGGGCCGTGTCTTGGTTGAAGAGCGTGGAGACTCAAGCAAGGGATTCTTCGAGGTTTCCGAAGCTGCGAGCTTTTCCTTCTGCATGCCGAAGCGCCGAAAGCGGCAGGAAGAAGATCGGTCTCGCAAGCGCGCGCTCTACGTGCCCGAGCCCTTGGACTTCTTCGATGCAGCTGACCTGCCTTCGGTGCTTCCGCGGTGTGCAAAGGAGGAGGCTGAGGCCACGGAGACAGCGCCGCAGGCCACGCCCGAGGCGCTCGAGGCGCTGGAGGCGCCCGAAGCGACCGAGACGAAGGAGCTCGAGGCGACGGACCTGGAGCAGGCAAATGAAGAGGCGATTCTGAACGGGATCGGAGAGCTGGCCATCTTGCGGCGATTTTTGCGTCTCTGGCAAGCCTCTGAAGCCTGGAATCGGCGGCTGCTTCGGGAGCTTCTCAGCTGGAGTATCGGGCAACCAGCTACGCAGCTGCCCGTGCATGAGGAGGATGCCAGTACTAGCCGCGGCACGCCTGCCTGGGCTCGACCATCAGGGGCTCTTTACCGTGCAGCAGCTGCAACATCTTCGTCGTCACACATCCTTTCCAAAAGGAGGACAAAGAAGAGACAAAATGCGCACGCAGGTGAGATGTCATCCGAGGAGGTTTCTTCCGATTCTGAGGAGCCACGTGTGTATCGGCCGGGTGACTGGCCGGATGAGGTGCGACACTTGGAGATCTTAGAAGCAAGCTGGCCCAAATACCTGTGTTTTCGAAGGGCCAGAAAGCTTTTTGAACGGCCCCCGCCAAACTGGCAGAGTGTGGCCAGCCTTGATGGTGTAGAGCGAGAGCTCAGCCTGCGCTCTCTGTTTGCGCAGGCCGGACACAGCTTCGACAAGTCGGAGTGGCATTGCCTCATTTGCCGCCTCCTCCTTTGCCTGCATAACAATGCCGAGCTCTTCTTGCAAGTGCAGCTGCCCTTTGTGCTACGACAGTACATGGGCCTACCACCAGTTGTCGATTTGTGGCAGGAAACCACCCGGTTTCTGCGACTGAGCTCCAGGTCCAAGGAATCTGCAGAATCCGAGGAGGATGCGCCCGAGATAAAGTCCTGGGTTGAAGCGCTGCGGAAATCCTCGGTTGCTTTGACAAATGCAGCACCCAGGATTTGGCAGTGCATCTTCGAAAGTTCGAATGGCTCACCGTCAAGGCGAGCAACTCTTGAGAAAGAAGTGAACCATGCTTTAGCGGCTTCTGACGGCCTTGAACACTTCGACTCTGTTTTCACTGGCCTCCTCTATGCCTACCCGGAAAGGATAGGCCAACAGATTCCAAAGCACGAAGACTTGCTCGCCCCTCTGGCTCCCAAAGAGCGCCGTCTGATCTGCAGGATATTGGGGATCTCTTTCCGAAGTGCTCCCGAGGGTGACACTCCCCTGCTCCGCTTACTGCAGAAGAGGCTACAAGCGCCAGTGCAAAGTGCCGACGACTGTGAGCGCTTGCGGAACGACGAAGTTCCGGGAGTCGCAACTCTCCGCATGCTATTGCAGGAGTATATCCATTGGGAGAGCTTTAAGCCCACCCAACCTGAAATGACGGACGAGGACTTCATCCGGTGGCTCTGTCCCAGGATCACCTATCGTGCAGGTCGCTACCAGGACATTTGCCGCAAGCTCCTTCAAGAGGGTCGGGAGCTGTCCGACGAGAAGTCTCGAAAAGTCTTCGAGTCGAGGGAGCTGACGGCCTTGAAGGAGTATTTTCTGCGTATGGAGCTCCCAACCGAGTTCAACGTTGCAGAGTATGTGTACGCGGATGGTGAGCAGGAGCTGGAGCACCGGATCGTCCTTCCGACTGCTTCATGAGAGGTTGCGGAATGTGTGGCATGCGTGGCAACTGACGCATCCCTGGCTCAAGGATTTCAGCGCGACCGCGATCAGCTTGAGAGAGCAATGAGAGCCTCATCGAGTCTTGAGCTAAGTGCGGCCACAGGACTCTAAACAAGGCTCAGTACATCAAGTCGGCATCGATCAGAGCTTCCCGTGTTTTTGGGCAGCAAGGTTGCATTTCCGTACAGATGGGCGGTTGATGAACCTCAGCTCTCACTCTTCTCTCACTCTCGGTGGCAAGATAGAGCAGGGGTTCAAAAAGTGACGAGATAGACGACCAGCCTTTCAGTAGATGTGGCTGAAAGTAGCACCTAAGTGGGCTCAAAGCAGAAACTGCACAGACATGCTCCCTTCAATGACCTTGGGAGGAACAGTTCTTGTCTGGCGCAGTTTGCACCCAGACGCTTTCTGCGCTCGGCGCGACGCTTGGATGAAGTTGCTGCAGCCCCGGATGATGTGAACTCCGCACCTCGTATATCCACCAGAACGTCGAGTGTATATGGGCTGCGGGCAAAATTAGAGCGTGACTGGATGTATCCGGAAATGTCACACGGTGCGATGAAACCAAAGTGCGTGCGCAGTCTTGTTGAAATTCGTTTCAACTTGGTTGTTGGTTGTTGAATTCGGCGCCCCGGCTCTGTATGCCTGCTATTCTCATCGGAGGACGGCCTGCGCGCGGCCGCTGTCCTTGCAGCGATGCCAGAAACTGCTAGTGGCATCGAGAATAAGCCACAGGCTGGGCAAGCCTTAGGACCTTAGGACACAGATGCGTGAAGCATTCAGAAGCACACTTGCAGAATGTGAAGGCAGGCTCGGGCTTGGGGCTTTGGAGACTTGTCATAGGCCGTGAGAGACTTTCTCTATGCCTTGCTTGCCTTCTAGCAATTTCATGGGCTAGGAAGTGTCATGTCTTCAATCTTCAGAGCCCTGGAGATATGCCATCGCTGGGCCCTGGAGGCTTTCAAGTATGGACGGCAGGCAGAACAAACCGCCGACCTTTGGTTGCCAGCCGGACAATCACCGAAAGGTGTAGTCGTGCTGCTGCACGGCGGTTTTTGGCTTGTGCAGTATGGCGCCTCGGTAGCGGAAGCCTTAGCGTCGCAAGCTAGTGCTGCCTGACCGCGAATTGCAGTGATGCAAGGCAAAGAGTTGATGACCGACCTTGCGCGTGATGTGGTCCAAAGAGGCTATGCCGCTCTTAACCTGGAGTATCGACGAGTGGGGAGTCCGACTTGGAAGGAGCGGGAACGATAGTTAGTTGGAGCTTCTGCACCGTTTAACCGTCTTCAGGGTGCAAGATGCCAGGATGCCAATACCACCTTGAGTGATGTCTCTGCGGGTCTCGCACTGCTGGACTCAGGGAAGCCGACCGGCTGCAGCGCAGACAATGGTCTGAGGGTTGTTGATACTTTGGCCAAAACTCCAGGACATGTGCAGGTGCAGCTTTGATGCTCCCTTGCAGGCTCCCTTTAGATGGGCTTCCATTTGCCGTGGTGGGCCACTCTGCAGGCATGTCGCAAGACAAAACCTAGAGACTTGCTGAACTTGGTGCAAACTGCACAGTTTAAGCCAGTTTAAGCCTGCCTGCAGGCGGCCATTTGGCATTGTGGTCGCAGCTGCGGAGTGCTGAAGTTTCACCTGCCGCAGCTGTGGTGTCAGCTGGCGGTGTGTTGGACTTGTGCTACGCAGACAGCGAGGAGCTGGGAGGTGGCACCAACAAGCATTCTCGCCTGGATGGGCTCGGTCGGTTGACTCTTGACTTCTTCAGGTGGAGCCGGTGCCGTGCCGCGCTTCTTGAGCTACCGTGAAACCGCCAGTCTGAGGCAGCACATTTGCATCCAGAGAGGGGCTGGCATTCTCTGCAAAAACCAGAGCATGTAGGCCAATACTCGGTCCAGCTGGTTAATGCAAGGCGCTTCCACGACTAGGCTGAGAGCACTTCGTGCCGAAGCTTCAACTCCCAAAGCTAGCCACAGTTGCCCGTAACTTCCTGGACCTTTCCCTTACACCGGAGACCCGGAGCTGCAGCCTCACTCAGGCGGGAGGTCTCCCCCATTGACATGCTACCGCCGTGCCGGGTGAATTCTTTGCGAGGCTGATCTGTGGGGGAGGAGCAAGTGCTTTCGATTCAGTCTGTCCGAAACGACTTGGGGCTCTAGGAAATTGCCGGCGGTGCCTTTGTTCTCTGGCAAATCACCAACGAAGAATCATGAAGTTGTTGACAGTTCCAAAGCTGCACAAAGACGAAAAAAAGGGTACACAACATTTCCTTTCTTGTGACGGCCCCTGCCGACTCTGATCGGCATGCTTGTGAGAACATGACAAGGTCGTGTACATGTTCATGAATGAATCCTGGAACAACTGGAGCAATGCACAAAGAACCAAGCGAAGAGCCGCATGCACATTATGCTGCCCAGGCAACGAGGCCCAAAGAGGCGTTGCTCCACAAGCACGCATAGGCTGGAACTGGCTTTTCGCTGATCGGATCGCTGGCGTGACGGTAGAAGCCGTTTAAGTGTCCCAGTGTGCTTTCGCCTGTTGGCCTGAGCCTGAGAGAGAGAGAGAGAGAGAGACAGGAAGGCCAGAAGCGAGCTGCTACTGGAGAGTCTTCACATCGCGCAGGCCTGATACATGGATCACTCGATGAGGTGGTGCCTCCAGAACAGTCCATCCGCTTTCTGGCCCCTTTGCTGCAAGCAAGGAGCGAGGACAGGCAAAGTACCGAAATCGAAAACGAATCGGAGAAGCTTTTGAAAAGGATTCTGTAAGTGTGCATCTCGATCCCTCCAGCAGAGAAGGTCTCCTCAACCTGCGCCGGGATTCCGTGCGAGCTGCATCTCGTCAAGGAGGAGGGCCACTATGAGGCCATGTGGACTGGGCCTAGGATTGAACACCAGGCCATCATGCCCCGTCTATCCTCAAATGTCCTCAGAAGGCATCCCTGGAAATCCTTGTCTCTGCCAGGTCCTCAATCCTAAATCAAAGTCGTGGCAGTCTACAATGGATTTCGCACCTCAGAAGATGTTTACTCCCGCAGTGTTACTGGTCAGCCAAAGCTTCTGCAGTCGTGGTTCAATGGCAGTTGAGGGAGTGCAATATCTTGCAAGCAGTTCGGGTCCAGCTTTTCTTGTCTGTAGGTCTTTCGATTTACGCACCCCTTAGAGGCTTTGTGTTGAGGTCCGTGTCGCCTTCGCAGCGCCGAAGCGCCGCACGCTCCGCGGGGCCATGGCTGCCACAGTGCGTGAGGAGCTTCGTGCGGCACCCGGTGATGGCATCTCAGAGCACATGACATGGTAGGTTGTGGACAGTGGGTTGTACTTCAAAGACTACCTAAGGAAGAGTTACGGGAAGCACGACTAATGGTCAAAAGCAGCCTTACAGCCTTTTTTGCCAGAGATGACACATCTTTCACATCCCCAGAGAAAATGCAGGCGAAGAGACGCTGATTCGAAGTCAACTTCAAGGAGAAGTCGGATGACCATCTGCGCGGAGCAAAAACGATCTGAGCCAAGACCTTCGCAAGTACAGTTGCAACGCTCTAGGCAGTTGAGCTTTGGTCAGAGCATGGTGCAGGAATATAAGGTTTTCCCTACAGGCCCTAGTCGAGATCAGGCACCTGGGACAGACTGTAGCAAACACAATCCAGACTGGCTCGGTGTGTGGCTCAATCAGCACTGCTTCAGTCGAGACTCTCCGCCGCTGCTGCCTTGTAGTTTTGCTGTGGACTTAGCACCACCCAGTCATCGAGAAGACACTGCGATGTGTCAAGCAGTCCGCGGATGTGATGCAAGTGCGACGTGTGAAGAGGCACCCGAATGTTTTTTTGAGTCGTCTTCAGGCATTTGCCGTTAGTACTTCTGACCTTCAGACATTTGGGCGGCTACTAAGGACGTCCTCATCATGCCAGCAGCATGGTCTCCCAGCTCCTGGAGGTCTCCACTTGGCTTGACGGCATGTTATGGTCCGCCTTTGGCCACATGGATTCGGGGTTGACAACCGGAACCGGAGTCGTAAGACCGTATGACTTGGCTCAGCAACGAGAATTACTGCCTGCGGCAAGGGTTGCGCTATTTACAGATCGCGGTGCAGGTCCAGAAGAGTGTGGGTGTGGTGGCGGGTCTTGATTTGGCAGTGGCCTACACCACGCCCCAGCCTCCCACGCAGCGAATACTCACACAAATCGGGCAGGTGCCTGTACCCGGCTCACAATATGCCCCTGTTGACTGCGACGTGGAAGGACTTTGCCAAAGCACCAGATGGCCGAATGGGAGGACAAGGCTGTGGCGGACAAGGCCCGGGCAGCCGTTCAGCATCATATCATCATGTTGTTGTCATGACGCAGCCGGCAGTTTCATGGACCCACAGCCACAACTGATAGAGCCATGCGTTGGGACATGTTACAATGTTAGGTCTTCAGCAAGCTTGGCAAACTGCCACCATTGGCCTGCGGCTTGGGACTTCTGGTAGCTGGGAGTTGAGTGCTCCGGGTTGAGGATTGTTATCGCCGACCCAAAACACTTGATAATGGTGCAGTCTAGCATTCGTCCAAGGGAAAATGTACAGATTACATACCGACAGCCTATGCCGCCAACATGGTAGTGCTGACAACATGCTCTCTGAGTCTCTGACGACGGCTGGTGCTGTTTTGGGTTTGCCGAGGTGCAACCCAAAGAATGTGACCGACTGAAGGCTTTGTTGGCTGAGGCTGGCTGACATTAGCTCTGCCAGCTCACATTCTGTTAACGTCGGCATGCCTTTCCATAAGTCTAAGCCTCATTCGCGCTGCACTAACTCGGTACAGATGCAAGCTGCTAGAGCGCTGCATCCACGGCTCATATGGCCTTCAGTTCAGCTTATCGATCACATGACCTCTCTCCTGTCCGAGGCAGGCCGAGGCGAGCGCTTTATCGTCCAAGGAGGTGACTGCGTCTCTGACTGAGTCGAAGCTTGGGCAGCTCAGGCTTCGGGCGTAGGAAGCCCAGTGAAACCAAGGACCTGTCGGGCCCGGGGGGAAGGGGGTAAGACGGTGGTAAGACGGGTAAGAATCAAATCCTCAGATTCGCTGCATCTTTGTCTGGGCACTTGAGGCCGAGCGCTTCATGGACTGCGAGGGCGAGCGCAGGTGCCCCAAGGAGCTGAGCATGGATGAAACTTAAGCAGCAAAGCTCTCTCTCTTTGCTCAAAGAGGGAGCATTCATTTCAAGAACGACTAGTACTAGTAACTAGTATGTGGTACTTTCCATTCTACTTTCCGATGTCCTTGCTCTCGGGCCTCACTCGTATCGTCAGGGTCGAGCTTGCGCGCCGGGCCCGCAGCCGCACGCAGAGCCGCAGAGCTCAGGCCTAGAGCAGCAGCTGAAGCTTATCCTGCAGATGGGTGCCCTGGCCTTTTTGGGCATCTGTGTTGTGCGTCGGGCTGGCCCCCGCAGCGAGAGACGGAGAGAGAGAGAGCAAACCGGAGAACAGACTCCGGAAATTAGTAGTTTCTCACACCCCCCTGAAAACCCCATGAAATTTGGGGGGCCAACTGGCCGGGGGGTCTAACCGACCCCTCATGCCCTGGAGAAGAGAGAGCTTTGTGGGGCCTTACCCGAGCTGACCGCTGCCACCCCCGAAAGCCCCAAAGAATGGGGGGCCGCTTGGGGCCGGGGGGCTTACGACGCCCCGTACACCCGAAGGAAGAAGCTTGTCCCCACTCAAGCAAGCAAGTCGTCTGTGCTGAAGAAGAAGAGAGGCTGCAATAAAGGGACTTTCAGGACTTTCAAGGTCAGGAATTTGTGTCTCGTTCGGAAGGGCCGGGGTAAGGAGCACTTCGACGCAAGGGGGGGCTACTAACGACTTGCTGGTGCATAATCTCGAGGCCGTGCTTAGTGCAGCAGCGATCGTCCCGGAACTAGAGCAGGTTCTGGTACAGGGAGAACATGTTATTGGTTTGATGTGTTTTTCTTGGAGTTGCTCACGATCGCCATTCGGCCATCGGTGAGTCGTGCGTGCTGCAGGGGGTCGAACGGCCACAGTGCCACAGGCGGGTTGCGGGATAGGGCTTGATAGGTAAGGTGAGCAGGACAGCACGACATGAGACAAGAGGGAGGCGTCGGCTTTCCCGTCCGTCCGAGCAGACAGTGCGCGACATCGTACGGGGACCTACGCGCAAGCGTTTGAACTTCGTCCTGTCGCAGAAGAAGAAGGAGCCACAAAAGAAAAGAGAGAGGGAGGGAAGCGAAACACGCATCATCCCCGTTCGCTTCGTCTCTTGATTTTCTATCAATCGAAGACCATGCGTTTGCATCGGTGTCATTCAATCAGTCCCTTGCACATCGATCTGGTTGTGAGTTAGGTGTGCGGTGGCTTCGCCTCCGAAGGGACAGTCAAAACATGAAGTGATTATGCAACCAGCATTTGAACATTCTCTTGCGCATGTAGAGGCAATATGTACACAGATTCATACCTTCTGATCGTTTGCATACTGGAGGGAATTGTTCGGGCGTGTTCTGCGTGTTCTGCAGACTGATTCGACGTGCTGGGATGAGATCAGGAATGGTCGTGGAGCATATCAGCGCCAAGTCTGGGAACTCAGATGTGTCCCGGACTGGTCTGAGCGTGGGTTTAGAATGCTGCCGTCTGCGTGCTGTGCTAGATAGGCCCACCTTGAAGATCTGCCGCATCGCAGGCCAGGCAGGGATCTGTTCAACAAGTCCTGCTGGTGCTTGTGCAGTCACACCTCCGATATTTTCAAGCAGCGAAGAGTTTCCAGTCCTCAAGCGAACAGCTCGTTGTCCTGAACTACTTCGTTGGCAGGACAATACGGGAAGCCCCGCTCGAAGCCCACAGAGGTGGTCGAGGGTCAGGTTCTTAGTATCGCTGTGCTTTCACTGAGGTCCACAAGGCCAAATCGTCGCAACAGTTTCCCCATGCTTGAGGTCATGGAGAGATCATGAGCTTCAAGGGCGACAACATCAATGGCCGCTTGCAAGCAGACCTCGTGCAAAACGTCTGCTGCATGCTTGTGTTTAAGCCGACATGATGCGGAACGCTGTGACTGTGAGCTGCTTTCCCAGAGGCTTCGACCCAAAAGATCGCAAGTGGGATCCGGAGCGTTTGCTTCTAGGCCGGTCGTCCAGCCTAGCAATCCAACCCGTCTCGCGCGATGTGATCAGCCTTGTGCTGTCCTGATCAGGATACTGGCACTCTTCAGCCACGCTGAACTACCTCAGGGGCTATGCTGCCTGCGGTGACCACCAGCCACTGCAGGCCGTTCAGGCCCGGTCTTGTGCAGTAACTAAAATTTGGAAGAGCTGCGGCAGGCCCGGCAGGCTGTCACTCTGCTTGAACAGGCACACTGACAGGCACGGGCACGGGTTCGGACCCAGACATCCGCCCGCCCACCCACGCTTGCACTCACGCACGCATGCATGCCCGCCCTCGCGCCTACCTGCCCGCGCACCCGCCCATGCGAAAGGTCAATGTGGCGCAGTATGCCCGCATGTCATGTCGCCTCACGATCTCGAATTAATGCCGAGCTACTGAAATGACAGTTGCTGAGCACTCTCGCTGTCTTTTGGGCTTATAGTGGCTGTTATAACGGTGCGAGGACCATTGCCAGACTCTCCTTTAGACCAGCAATTGCCGTGGTCGCGAGAACTTCATTCCAGTGAAGCTTTCATAGAGTCACAAGTCCGAGGTGAGTGAGCTCAAGGCTTCCGAGTGCCCTGGCATTCACTTTTGTACGAGGTTGTTGGCCTGGGTTCACGTCCGGTCGCTAGGTCACTAGGCTCTAGTCCTCTTCAAAGTCCATCGTGTACCTGCTGTGCTTGAGCTTTCGAGAGGTTGGCGAAGTTCAGTTTGCAGTCAAAGGAGGCCATGCCCTGCAGCTCGAATCCATGAGACACTCATGGACGAGGACTTGTTTCGAGAGTACTTCTCAAGCCCGGATGCAAAAAAGGGTGAACAGAAGCAGGCAGAGGGCAATCAGACGGACCTGTCTGCCGATCATAGAGGCTGCCAGCATCCACAAATGACGGAGAGACTGAGCGATACACCACAAACAAAGTCTTGAACGCAGGGTTTGGCGAGCGCCTACTCGCAAACTCGAGGCACTACAACAGCTACGTCGAAGATGCCCGTGCGCAGTCCTTGGAGAGTTCCCCTGGACCACTGTCAGATTTCACAATTTTGCATCGGGTTTGATAGCGACAACAGCCATGATCACAGCAGATCTTTGTGAGCAGTACGGTGCCTCACCGACGAACCGAGACCCTCAGCTAACATGCTCCGAATTTGAGAGCAAAAGCCATCATGGCAGCTGTGTTGCGATATGTTGAGATCGCCATCGACAGACCAAACGTTTGAGTTGTGAGACTCGGAGCATGACTGACATTGTCCTGGCGCCCACGTTGCACATAATGATGGTTGTAGTCACAAGAACAGCAGCACCGGCGAAACGAAAGGTCCGAAGCATCAGCAACAACGTTCAATTTTGTGGCCTGTCCTTGTTGCCCGAGTATCGGCTTCAGCCCCAGGCCAGGCAGAGCTGTCGAAGCTGATGCCAGCTATGACTCAACTGTCACTGTCACCAGTGTTTCTGGATAAGATTTACATGCAGAGCTGCAGGAGGTAGCAGAGGCACGTCCGACGTTTTTTTCTGAGGCGATTGGCCTCAAGCCCATTGCGGCTGAGACCACGGAGCTGTGGCCCCAGAGCTCGGACAGCTCGAACAGCTAAATCTGTTCTGCCATTTTCTTCGGTTCGGTACTGCCGCGAAAAGTCTCAGACTGAGTTTCGCCTGTGGGTTCTGACGGTGTGATTTCGAAGGTGCTGGCTGCGAGCCTTTCGTTAGACGGGGACAGAGGCTGCAAGACCCCAAAGCGCCCGAGGTTCTTCACATCCCATGAGGCGATGCAGCTTGATCTTGAGGACAGCCCGCCTGGTCCGAAGCGCTTCGAGTTCAGAGCAACTCGGGTTTGAACGCGTGGAAGGAGTCTCTGACCCGACCGGTCGGCTCCAAGTTCTACAATCTCAGCGCGCACTTGGCCGGGCCCTCACAAGATCCCTTCTGCCAGGAGCCGTTTTTGGACACGCTGGAGTTCCGCCAGACGCCACCTAGAACCTAGAATTGAGCAGTGTGCTCCCGGTTTGCCCACCGAAATCGCCCAAGAGCAAGCAAGCAAGGAAGGGGCCTGGCAACCACATCTTCCACTCAAACGACTTTGCCTTTATGGCTCCTTCCCCTCGGGCTTGCGATTGCTGTTTCACTTCTCCCAACCAGGCCCTACAACAGCGGTGAGCCATTCGGGCTCGGGGGACTTAACACTTCCCCCAGAGAGAACAGAATAGAACAGGAAGGGGGCGGCGCACTGCGCGGTTTGGGTGGACCCAAACCCCGAGCATAGCAAAGCAAGAGCACATCTTGGAAAGGGGACGAAATGAATTCAAATGCCCAGAAGCTTACTCGGAGTCTAGTTTGCATCGTCGCGCTCGGCCAAAGATCACAGAAGGATTGGCCACGGGATAAGCAAGAACAAATGCCAAGCCGAAAGCAAGCGTCAGATGCACCAGAGCCAGATCAGATAAGAGACTGGTCGGGGCCCTCTTAGCAGATTCCCGCTCAAAGACCCTGTGATGTCAGTCCAGGTCTGGATTGGTGACCGCACCAGGCAGCTTGACTGCGCCGGCTTCCGAGTTGGAAAGCTCGAGCCTACACGGACTCACAAGGATGCACAGGCGGAGGCGCTTGCAGCGACATTGAGCTAAGGCGCATATTGAGTACTTCAGGGGAATTGCAAACCCCATCGGTGTGAAAGTCGGCCTTTACCTTACTTCATTGCTTCCCTTGTGCTGTGCTCAAGTGCTTGAAGGAGGGTTTTTGTTGAAGTTCTCATGTTCCCCAAGCAGTTTGAGCTTCCCAATCCCAAAGCATTGCCCTTCACCGAGGTCCCTCGATGAAGAATGACGAGCTGAAAGAGTTGGTCACCGCGCTGTCCTGAGCCGATCGGAAGAAGGCTAGATGGATCAAGCACTTCTGGAGTCAGTTGCGAAAGCCCCACTTCCCCCCACAGCCGGCTCCCGCATCGAATGCAGGGATTCTGCGACTCCTCTGCCTAAGGTGCTGAATCCAAACAAGGAAGAGGGTAGGCCCCTGCCGGGCCAAGAAGTTGTCACATGTGGGGAGTCCGGAAGCATCCGGAGATAGCTTGGTAACCCTCGGCTTGGTCGAGAACCGTGAACTTTTCTGATTCGTAGAGGCGTAGGACCTGTGCGCCGAAGCAGGCTCATGCTTATCACTCGCTACGGCGCTGGAAAGGCTGAGGAGTGATTGCGAGCTGCTGTTTTCAGTTGGTGATTCTCTGTGGCGTGAAATGTATTGGCTTGCCCTGACCAGCGCTGGTCGGTGAATTTGGGTTCCTGGTGAGGGTCCCTTTCACACCCACAGCTGCCCACCAACCGCAACCAGTCCTAGTACTCTTGTGCGAGTGTGTGCAGGCCATGCTGCCAGGCCACATCCAAGCAGCTGGTCGCTCAGCTTCCGAGGAGCCTGAGGTGCTCTGCTGTGCGAAGGGTTTCTGCTGGTTTTCAGGTCAAAGACAGTGGGGTGCCTGTCGTATGGTCGCGGTCTGAGAAGAGAAGACGAGCTCGCGCTTGACTTAGACGTTTTGTTTGCCTGCGTCGTCGCGGTCGCACCTTGAGGCAATGCGATGGCGTCCATGGCAATGGAATCGTTGCCAGCAACAAATACAAAACACGCAGCTTTGACGGCACAAAACGCTTCTCTGTCGATAAAGGGTGGGCAAGTCCGGCTCTGTCGGTCATCTAGCAACTCCAAGCAAGGGTTGTTCCGTTGAAGTGAGGCAGCTGGGACGCTATTGTGACAGAGATTGCGGAGGTGCCTGCTAGTTGTGGCAAGACGGGAAGAAGCATGTCCCACCGTGCTGCCTGCAAACAGCACAGCAGATCGCTGGTCCGTGCAGTGTCTTCAGCAACATAGAAGCGAAACAGGCCAACCATGCGGGAACAGGTTGATAGATCACTATACAGTGAATGCCCATTTCTCGGTGCTTCTGCTGCGTGAAAGTTGCAGACATTTGGCTCAGCGATCGAGTTACAACAATTTCCCAACCAGCGCCATGGCCGTGTCTTGTTTGCACAGCTGAGCCTGCCGGCTGCTAACGTGGCAATTCGTCCGTTTGTCTAAAGGAATTTTTCACCTGTGCTGCCGAGTGCTGAAGGTTAAGGTCGATCCTACATCACTGGTCATTGGCGTCGGGCCCTTGCTGCACTCGTAGACGCAGGTCGTTTGCGGAAGCAGAGTTTGAAGAGAGCAGCGAGCAGCGAGTGCAGTTTTTTCCTTTACTACTTCCCAGTTCGCTGACAGACTGACAGAGTATGCGCACAGTGTTGGCGAGTCACGGCCTTCAACACGAGAGAGCTTTGGCCGTCTCACTCGTGATGTGTCTTGGCCACTTTTGCGCTTATCTCCCTTTGCATGCTGGTTACATTGAGACCCGTTAAGCCCGAACAACAGAAACCCACCGATCATAATGATGCCTGTTTGATGATTGATGGATTCCCGAAGCTTCTCGAGCTGCGAAGTTTCGAGGTCGGTCTCGGTGCAGCTGCGGCTTTCCTCGTGGCGAAAGCAACGTTGAAGCCAACGCCGGTGAACCCGGGGATCGAAGCTTGCACGGAAATTTGAGAACTCGTGCATTCTGAGATCGTATGCCTGCTGGCGTCGTGGTCGCACTTTCGTGCACAGCAGTTGTATGCTTCTGTTTGCTGGTTGCCGACAACGTGCATCTGCAACGTTACAAGTAGTGATCGTGATGCTGCGGCGCGAGCGCCTCGTGATTGCAAGCGCATGTGATGGACAGAAATGCATTGAACGGCTTTGTGGGTCTGAGCAAACAGTGATGCGATGCTGAGCCACTGTTTGGACACTGCAGTTACTTTCCACGACAGTTCCTCAAAGTAGCTTTAGCCGACCAGCACCCCCGGGGTTTGTGTCACGACAAATCTTTGCCTCTCTGACCCCCACACATATCCACACCTCAGGACAAAGCATCCCCGAAAGTGGCAACCGCCAGGGCCTCGTCAGCTCATGTCTTGAATCAAATTCTCCATGTAGGGGAGGCATTGCAGGCTGCATGCAACAAGGCTATCTCTGTGTTAACCTGAGATGGACGACTTGCGGTTGAATTAAAGGTCATGACTGTGAAGGACATCGAAGATGCGCTGAGCAAGAGCAACTTGGTGCAGAGATCTCCTGAGCCCAGGAAGCTCCAGGTTTGCAGGCATGAGTGCTTTCGACTCTGGAAGGCTTTGGATCGCTTGAGATGCTTGAGTTGTTTGGAGGTTGGGGAATCAAGCTTGCATTATGTCTGGCCAGGAGGCAACTTTGTGCAGGCATAGAATCATCCAACAAGTTCTTCTTGCTTTAAATTAGAGCGATTGAATGCCAGCTATTGCGGCCGTTGCTCTTCGACACGGCAAAACCAGCTACCTAGTTACAGCACTTACCGCATCGTCATGTCTGTGTGCCGGATTAGCTGCATGTTGTTGTGCTGCCCAAGCCGAGGCAGCAGTGGCAAAGTCGCCTTGTGCCGTAACTTGTCGCGCATCATGCACGACCATGCCCTGTGCCCTTATGACAACACCTACCCAGAATCTTGGCCAGGTTGCTGGCATAGCAGCAAGTTCCCGTCACTTGGCGGAAGCGCTGGCAGAATGTCAGGGAAGGATCGCTTTTGGCAGGGCTGCTGAGACCAGTGCATTTTGTCAGCATGCTTTCCGGTGATGTGCTACCCGCTAGCCTGGACAACTGCTACAGTAAACCGTGAAAGTCTGAACCGGGCAGTGTTTTTAAGACCAGACACTCGGGAACAGCGTTACCTTTCAGCGCTCAAGGCAGTTTATAACCCCTGTCTGTCGGCACTATATTCATACTTCGCATACTCAGTACTGTCGACAGGGAAAGTCGATGCGTTCTAATTTAATCAAGCGTCTCACTGGGGATTCAATTTAGCTAAAGTCAGTGCGATTGGCGTCCAAGAGGGGTTTCGATGTTTACTCCCGTACCCCGGTCCCTCCCACTTTGCTCGGATCCTTGTAGTCGCTGGGGGAACGATTCCAGACAAGTCGCGCCCGCAAGCGTTTACATGGGGGGATGTAACCTTGATCACGCACGCAGCTGTGGATGCTGGATTTGTCGAGGAAATAACAGCACGGAAACAGTTTAAGAAGTCGTATCGGCAGAGAATTTGTCGTGATGCACTAAATCTTTGATGGGATTTGCTTGTGTTCCCAGGGTTTTTCGAGAATGAGCACGCTACAGCGACAGAGCCACGTCGCATCATGTATTTTGGATCCCACCCCACACTGGGGGGAAGCACCATCACCGAGCGATACCGAGCGTCTAGTTGGGGATTCGCGATCACGTTGATTCGGGATTGTTGAGGTTTGATTGCAGAAGCTGAATTTACAGCAATTTACATGGAGAGTCGTGGGTTTTGATTAGCTGTTTGATGCGATGTCGCTTCTGAAATCGAGCGTCTGCATGAGGAATGGCTGGCTTGGTTGTGCTGTGATGCCACTGGTGTTGGCCTTGAGGTTTGAGAGGCTCACGGTCTACTGCAGGCCTGTAGCATACAAGTGGACATGAAAAGCGAGACCGACCCTTCCGGAAGCTGCTAGACACCCTTGAACGCCCCGGTTCAGGCGAAGGCGAAGAAGTCACGACCGGACGCGGTAAACACCCTTGAACGCTGAGGCCAACAAGAAGCAATCGACCCCGCGAACATCATCAAACTTGTTGCTTCCCCCCTCTGAACGCTAGCAATCCAAAGTCGCTAAATACACACCTTTGGTCCGGTCCCGTGTCCCTTTCCCCGAGTGAACGCAAGCCATTGAAAAGTGATACCGATAGATCTGCTTAGAGGGTTGTTGGCTGCTCCGATACCCCTCGTCAAAAGGGTTTGGGGGCTCAAACACAACTTCCTGAGCCTCCGATACACCTTTCTGCCCGCTGCTGCAAAATTATGTCATATAATGGTGCACGCGCGTAAGCTCCGCGTAAGCTCTGCGTAAGCGGGACCCCTCGTATGTGACCCAAGTCCTTATTCTGCTTCCGAGTCGCTAAGGTTTTTGCGATGGGTCGCACGGCAAGTACAACGAGGCAACACATCTGTTCCTGACTCAATAGCAACAGCCGTGCGCTTGCGATACTGCGGGAACTGTTTTTTGATCGAGGCAACTTTGCAGGTAGCTTCGGAGCACACGTCGTCATGCTTGAAACATGGACAAAGAACGGTTGCCACTTTCTGCGCATGTCCAGTTGCTGTCATGTGTCCAGTTGCTGTCATGTCTGTAAAGCAGGTGAGCTGCGCAGTCGTTAGAGTCTGTTAGAGCTGCTTGCTTCGCAAGACGGGCAACTTAGTTCGGACATTTGCCTCGCAGCGCGGTCCGGTCACGTGACTTCAGAGTTGTGATGGCTTGGAGCTCCAGCATAGGTGCCCAAGAGCATTTGACGAACTATGCTGGCCCGTCGGAATTCTTCGGTCTTGCTGATACCACCTCATGCCGACCCCCTCTAAGCAAGTTGGTGATGTCAGTTCCCGCAGGCAGACCTGTGTTTGTGTGTGTCAGATTCAATGTGGTGCTTCTGGTTGCAAATCCCATGACTGGTTGCAAGAGCACTTGCATGACATCGCGCTCTTGCAAGCCTGCGATCGCTCGCAGGCTTGCGGTGACAACACTGGGCCCCTCGTGGTCTCGAAGGCTTAGGCGAGGAGTGCTTCGATTGACTGAGAGTCAGTTGGCAGAAGAGGGCTTTCACCAAAGCCTCACTTTCCCACCATCCCGAGCTGCTCGAAATTGTTCTGACAAGCTGTGTTCCTCAGGTTACACCAAGGACATGAACTGAAGCTAGAGATTGAGCCTAGCCACGACTTGCTTGTACATATGCTGCGCCTCTCGCGCATTACTCTATGTGTTTCGTGACTGATTGCTAGCTGCCAGCTCACGTACCATCAACATCGACATGAAGCTGGGTAGAGCTGCAGTGGCGAAGATGCAACCCACCTGCCGTGATGATTGCATTGCGCAAGCCTTTCAGCAGACCTGCAACGAAAAACAACTGCGCATGCCCGTGCACGTGCTTTCCTGGTTGTGGTGGGCTATGGAACATGGCTGACAGTTGCAGCCGGCAGTCTCCGATCGTCTAGAGTCTAGATCGCTGTGATGCTCACTTGTTGGAGCAGGAAGAAGCCATGCTCTAATTTCATGCTTCGGCACACTTCTTTTGTGCTGGGTGTCTGCCGCCTTTCAGGGCGAGATGTCGTAGTGAGGCAGCCATAGAGTGTTGTTCATCTGGCAGCCCGGGCCCCAATCTCAGCAAGCATGGCGTCTCGGCATCATTCAGATTCCGCCCGTCAACTTGAAACCTTCCCGAGCCAGCACACTACAGTTTGCTCAGGTATTTTTTCACGTAGACGCAGAATGCTCCTGTTGGAGCTGGAGGAAGATGTCGGGGCTGACGCCTTTGGGTTGCCTGAAAGGCCTGTTGAACACGGGTTGTTGACATGAGTTGCTTTGACCACGGCAGCGCGGATGACAGGTTTGCTCAACGACCCGGACAGTCCGCAGATACAGACTCGTCGGCTACTGCCCTCACTCATCCGGCAAGCACGCTCCCGCAGCTTGCAACTGGCCAGTTTGATGCACTTCAGGTGTTGATCAGCTGTGCAGGTTTTACTTTAGCGTGTCTCAGGTTGTGCTAATGCTCGGTATGTGTTGACTCTGTGGAAGACGCGTAGTCGACAGATATTAGAAGCACGACTTTGAGCTGCATTGCTGCTTTCAGACAGATTGATGCCTGTCGCATCGTGCAGTGCGCACGGAGCCTGACCCCTGATAGAAACACTCAGATGCGACTGACGATTGATCAGCTTCAGTGCACGCTACCGGAAAGGTTGAGGGCTTCGTTCCCAATTTCATCGACCATGGCCGCATTGTGTATGATGCCAAAGTCGAAGATCGATACATCTTTGTTCCAGGACAACCCCGCATTCAATTGCACTCCCCGGTAGATCGCGGTGAGATATTCTGCGGGGCAGGTTCGCATGTACATACATCGCTGACTTGTGGGAAGGTTGATAGGATGGTATGTTGATGATCTTTGACTGACTTCGTTGTGGGCGCGAGGAGAATCGCTGGGAAAAGGCAGCTTCGGAGAACCTGCAGCGGCAATAGGAGCAGTTGCAACTTACATTTGTGCCATTGGGCTTCGTTC